GTGCCCGGTGGGCTCCAACACATAGCCAGTTCAGTCTGCGGATCTGTTCGATTCTGAGAAGATGAGGAGGTGAGCTAGAACGCTTCTAAGGACACCCTAAGTTCGTGCCAGGCCTCGTTCCTAGTCTTTCCATTCATCAAGATCCTCAGAGTCAAAATGGTTCTCTCTCATCACCTAACTTCAGCCAACCTACTGGAGCTCCAAAGAGCATCAGGACTCTCTTTCAAACAGGCGAGACATGCAAGTATCAAACTTAGTCTTATTAACTGATACATTAAGAATCATTTGCACCTTTTACAAAGGTGTGTTTGAACTAAGAAACTGATGTTTCCTTCAGGCTGTAGATCTGCTGAATATCAAATAGTACCATAGCTTCATGTTTTTATTTCTCTTCTCTTTACTACTTAAGCTTTAACTATGCCAACTGTATGCATGTGTGTGTGTGTGTATGTTAGACTAGTTTAAGTGTTTATGTAGTTAATAAAGTCTTACTTGTATCACACTTGACGTCGTTCATTGTTTGCTCATAACTGGAGTCCCTAATCATGCAGATTTTTGCTACATGCTCTGAGTAGTATTTTACAGTAAGAAAGTTATTTTCCTTAACCAGGAAATTAACGTTCTTAGAATTGACAGACATTTGACACTGAGAGGTCAAGTAAATACTTACAGCGGATCTAAATATTTATAATTAATTATAACTAGTTATAATTAATTATTAATATTTCCCCTTTGAGCTGATTAACTACATACCCAATGTTACCGAATGTTGGTTTTAGCTACCACCGCATTCCTCAAAATGTATCTCCTTTTATGTCGCAAAGAAAATGCTATACATGTTTGGAATGACATGAGGGTGAGTAAAAGACAGCATTTTCATTATTTGGAACAAAAAGAAGATATTTCTCTCGCTCTCTATTATTTTTTGTGCATATAAAAGTCATTGGGGTCCAATGTTATTTGGACAATGTTCTTCAAAACCTATTTTTTTGTGTTATACAGAGAAAATAATTGCATAAAAGTTTTGGAACAATGAATAAATGATGACAAAAGTTTCATTTTTGGAAGAAGTATCCTTTTATGCCACCAGAAAGTGTCCTACTCTATCTTAATTTTGAACAGTCTATCTATTATCTACAATTTAATAACAAGCAAACATCCTTTTGTGAAATGTTGTATTTAAAAAGGTCTTTGTGCTATTTAAAAAAAATAAAATAAAATCCACTTTGTTCAATATTTAGAATTATTTTTTTTACAATATTTTAATAATATTTTTACATTCAAATACTGAAAACAAACTTTTTTTGTAGTTTGATGTACTTCGGCTCAGCTTCATCAAATATAATGAACCGTTATCAATAAAATCACATGAACAACATATTACTATGAAGTAGGGATGCACCGATACCGATACTGGTATCGGTATTGGGCCCAATACCGAACTTCTGTACTCGTACTCGTTAAAATGCCCCGATACCAAACGCCGATACCACACAACATGTGATAAGTGCCATATTCAGACAAAGAAACACTGACAACAGAACAACAGACAGCAGAATGGAGTTATTAGAGATTAAGGATATATACGAAGTATATAATTTTAAACATTCAGTATTAACGCCTGTATAGTTGATGTGTGCAAGCTGATAAGCAAATCACACTGAGTGGATTGAGCGCGCGGCAGCGGAGATGCGCGAGTTTGTCGAGTGAATATACCTTTCTCACAGACATCACTGGAAAGTTTGTAGTTCGGTCGGATATGTCAAACAAATAAGTAAAACAATGCACAAGTTACTGAGAGAGAGCGAGAGCGCGCACTTCTGTTTTGTGATCTTTGATGTTCACTCACTTAGCACACGCATCATTTGGATTAAAACTAAATCGTAAAAATAAGACCATTTATAGGGGCATTCACTATAAACATAATTTATTTAAAATTTTAGGCATAAACGACTTTCAGGCGAAAGTGAATCTAGTTTGTGTGAAATGCGCTAGTCTGTACTTGTCCCTCTCATTCTGCACCAGTACAAATATATGCACGCGTTGCGTGTGTTTTGTTTGCTTGTGTGTTTCTGCATTTTATGAGTGTCTTTGGAAGATAAATCGCAGCACGTTTCAGATGAAAAAAACACGACTTCTATTTCTGAAAATATCACAGTTAGGAGATTTATAACAAGTGGTTCCCTGCATTATTACAGCAAAGCAGTACTAAACCGCTGCAATGGAGCAGCTCTAATACTATTAAATTAAAGATGATGTACCATAGAGCAAAAAAATTAACAGTGAAAGTAACAAAAACTTGTAAAATACATTTTAATGGCCATAATTAAGTGTGAAAATAACCGAAGGATATACAGTCAAACCAAAAATGATTCAGAGACCAGATATAATTTTTTATATTTTTTTAGTGGGTGCAGGACACTATAGTTCATTTATGTAAGTGAGGATAGCAAAAAGTAAACTGTGATAAATTATACCCAAAAATTCTTCATACAGTGGACTACCAGTAAAACAAAAAAGTTGAGGTTTGCATGAAGCTGGGTGACAGCATGCCCATGCTGTCATTAAGGCTAAGGGTTGCCCAACTAAGTATTGATAGTTGTGTAAATACTGTCATACTAACAGCTGTCTGAATAATTTTTGGTTGATTGTAATTCCTTACATTCCTTTCTATCAAAGTTATCTAACATTATCAAGCTGAATTTGTTCTGACACAGTTTAACTCTGAGTTCTTGTTATATTTTATTACCATTTTCTAAACTATAGCCAATAAACTGGGATAATGTGAGAAATGTTGAAGGTGTCTGAATAAATTTTGGTTTGACTGTATCTATTTGATAAATGAAGTTAACCAACTAACATTATACATACTATTTTGGTTTCTGTACCCAATATTTAAAAAATTTACAAATGCAATAAAAATATTGGTATCGGCAAGTACCAAAAATAAAAGTAACGGTGCATCCCAACTATGAAGTAGTATAAGTGGTTGAGTGACAGATGTTGGTCATTTGTTTGTTTTTTTTAAAGAGGAAAAAAAAAAACTCAGGCCACAATCAAACCATCTGGACATTTGTCAAAAGAATGATCCTTCCCTTCCAAAATCTGTTGTGACAGTAGAGATGAACTGAATACGAAAAAATGTCAGGATCTGTGTTTTCTCTCTTATTGTTCAAATCAACAGTACAGTGACTTTGAGATTAAGGGGTGTAATGAGCTCAACAGAGGCTTCTCTCTGGTAAGTCCTTTGCTAAATTGAGAGCCCTGGAGTTGAAATCACAGCGCCTAGAGACAGTTCACATCATTACTGTTTGTAGGTTCAGGGGCAGACTTGAGACAGTGCGTGAAGCCAAAACACAGGCGATGTGTGTTACCGCTTCCAGCTGCCGTTCATGTTAAGCGCACCGGCATGCAACCTGGAGCAATCATCACCACTGACAGCACTGCATGCTTTGGGAATAAACTGGCATTTCACTGTAAATCATAGAAA